AGCTGATTGGTCAGAGATGAAATCACGGGGAGTCGAATGTATCTTCTTGTGCTGAGTCAGCTCCTAACTGAGAGCCACAAGATCAGATGACCCAGATTATTGATCTGGGTGGTGCCAACTGACTTATCAAGTGCAGGATCTGCAAAATATCTCAAGCACTGATTTCTAGGAGCAGTTTAGGGAGGGTCAGAATCTTGTAGCCTCCAGCTGCATGACTCCTAAATCATAATTTCTAATCTTGTGGCTAATGTTAGTCCTACAAAGGCAGTCTAGTCCCCAGGAAAGGAGGTCTGCTTGGCAAAGAGCTATTAGTGTCTTTGTTTAAACTATAAGCTAAGTTTCTCCCAAAGTTAGTTCAGCTTATGCCCAGGAATGAACACAGACAGCCTGGAGGTGAGAAGCAAGAAGGAGTCGATGAAGTTAGATCTCTTTCACTGTCTCAGTCATAATTTTGCAAAGGCGGTTTCACTTCTAGGACAGAAAATGGGAAGCACAGATAGGATAGAAACCTGGACAAGAGCAAGATTCTGTTGGAAGGAAGAAGTCAGGTGGCTGTTGGGTCCTCGACAAACAGTGTCTGCATTCATTGGCTGCTTCCTGTTTTGAGACATAAAAGTGCTTTCTTGAAAGTGGTCTCATGTGCATCACACATTGTATGAAATGAGCACACATGCATGTTGTGAGGATGGACATGAGCACATCCTAAGTCTGCTCTGTGCCTCTGAGTTTTGGGAGCAAAATTTCTGAGTGAGGGCTCTCCCTCTTACCTGTGCAGTTATCACAACCTCAAAGCATCCAAGACTGTGATCGGAATAAGAGTGCAGGTGTTACAGGAAAGGGGTCCTGATCCAGACCCCAAGAGAGGGTTCCTGGATCTTGTGCAAGAAAGAATTCAGGGTGAGTCCATAGAATAAAGTGAAAGCAAGTGTATTTAAAAAAGTAAAGGAATAAAAGAATGGCTACTCCATACAGCAGCCCTGAAGGCTGCTGGTTGCCCATTTTTATGGTTATTTCTTGATGATATGCTAAACAAGGGGTGAATTTCATGTCTCCCCTTTTTAGACGTGTAGGGTAACTTCCTGATGTTGCCATGGCAATTGTAAACTGTCATGGTGCAGGTGGGAGTGTAGCGGTGAGGACGACCAGAGGTCACCCTCGTGGCCATCTTGGTTTTGGTGAGATAGGGCCGGCTTCTTTACTGCAAGCTGTTTTATCAGCAAGGTCTTTGTGACTTGTATCTTGTGCTGACCTGTTATCTCATCTTGTGACTTAGAATGCCTTAACAGTCTGGAAATGCAGGCCAGTACATTTTACCCAGCTCCTATTCAAGATGGAGTTGCTCTAGTTCACACACCTCTGACACAGGGAGAAATTCTCCCTCTCAGCCGTCTCTTTCCTAG